GGGGTGGTGAGACCATCAGGGGGGCGGTGAGGGATGAAGGGGGCAGCGAGACCCTCAGGGGGGCGGTGAGACCCTCAGGGGAGCGTGGCACCGCAGAGGCCCCGAGCCTCTGGTCTATGGGCTGTTTTTTGCATATTTGTGAAAAACAGGAGAGACGGCAGCTCTGCCATGGGACAGCAGGGATCTGCATCGGGACACCGACTGCTGAATAATGGGGGCAGCTTGCTCACCGGGACGGCGCGAGCGGACAGAGGTAGGGGGTCCTGAAGAATGGGACCCTCCGGCCGCGGCGCCGCAACAGGGGGCCGTGAGGGGCTGCTCCCTGGGGACGCGTCCAACACCCACGCCCGAGACACCCACAAGGTAGCAGGGACACGGGTCACACTCATCGTCCCTTCAGGAGTTACGGAGATCGTGTCCAAGGGAAAGGATTCCCGATCTCCTTACTACCTTTAGATGCGTATTTTGTGAGTAAATCTCAAAGGTATAGTCTCGATTTGCAGATGGAGAGGCTGAATTGTGAAGCAGAGATGGAAGGGCGCGGTAGCTTTTAGAGCAGCACAGAGGGCCACGCTGGCCTTGCACCACACCGGTCCCCTTGAAACACTGGCCTGCGCCCACAGCATCACAGACACATGCTGAAGAAAATAGAAATCTATGAATGACTAACATGCTGTCTGTGTTTTGTCAATACTTTTCCTTGGAAGCATAGGCTGGGGCCAACAGAAAGGCTGTGCTCCTGTTTTCTGAGAGCTATGGAGACACGTTATCCCTCAAGAGTGCACAGCACTGGAGCTCCGGGGAAGAGTTGGCGTATATTAATAGACTCCTCAGCCCTTGCTTGGAGGCTGGTCAGAGCCTCAGACTTTTATTTACATCAAAAGCTAGGAGGCAGGAAGGCCTGCAGTGCTGGGATACTGGGGAGAGGCATTGCCTGGCCTCTCAAGAATACCTATCAGGTAGGAATGCTATTAAGGCTGCAGGAATTTCATCTTTACATAACACTTTTTATCTGCCTCTAGAATACTTTTTTTAACTTTGACTTTGTCATAAACTGACTTGCAAAAGTTCCCTTATTTTACGTGCCCAAAAAGTCAGGACATGCATTCTTAAAGAGGCAAGCAAGCACAAGTGTCTGATGGGGTGTTTGTGTAGCATCTGCGAATACCTTTGCTCACTGCCTGCCTGAGCAGGGCCTCGTGCCGGCTCCTGGCACGTGCTTCCCTAGCCTGGGCTGGTTCCCAGCTCTGCACGAGGAGCCAGGCCCGAGCACAGGCCCGGGCTGGCCCCGGCCTGCTGGCGTGTGCTGTGCCTGCTCGTGACTCCTTGGCAGAAGCAGTTCATGAAAACAGGCCTCAGAGCTCTGCTTATCACCCAGCAGGGTCAGAAACCAGAGTATTGAGATGTAAATCATATATTCAATTGACTGCAATACCCTTGGTTTGGCTACAAGTTACAAGCAAAGCAGCCTAAAGGGTTCATTGGTAAGGCTGTGGTTTGGGTAGTTACGCCTGTAAGTCAGGAGCCTCGACTAATTGTTTTGTTCTCAGCACCATCAAGGGAAGGAAGTTTTCTGCAAGTCCAAACGTAAACTAGTTCCTTACCTTGTCCCTGTCTGCAACAACCACCTATTTCTAGAACGCCCATCGTCTGTTAAGCAGTATTGCCTGTAGGTCTAAAAGGGATTTGCTATTAAGGACATGCAGTTTTTCATTTGGGGAGTATTCTTTGAGGCAACGTGTACTGTGTGTTTGACAATTAATAAATGTAAGGAAGTCTTCTATTCTTAGGCCAAAACCAATGAGTCATTACCTAGCAGTGCTGTCAAGAAGGCAGGAAGATCACATCTTCCATAAAGAGGTCTGTTACAAAGCTGTATGATCCCTAAGTGCAAAAACTGACCTTATTCTGCAGAGGTAGTTCAAGTTTCAGATTGCCCTTTTTTGTCTATTTTTCTCCACCTCCAATTGACGGAAGCCAGATGCATACATCTTACACTAATTTTGAGTGCTTCTTTTTAAAAAGAGCTTTCTTTCCATGTTGGAATCATTGTGCTGTGAAACTCTCCAGTTGTTCACGATGGAAAATATGATTTTCTGACAGATTTTGCTTAAAAACGTCCTTTCTTTAAGTGTTCAATTCCATAGGTCCCGTAACCAAAGGGATCACCAAGGTTCAAAATAAAAGGATATAAAGCTTCTGGTTTAATTTCATTTTGCGTTGTCTAACTTATTATTTAATAGGCTTTAGTATATTTGGAAAATTAACTTTTCATATGGACAGAATACAAGTAAAAGTTATAGGCTGTATAAGCCCAGTTTGGCTGTTATCACAGAATGTTAGGACAAAACAGGAAATGAGATGACCAGAAAATATAGATGACAGGAATCACAAAAAGGAAACAAGCCCAGGAGATAAGACCCGTTCTAAACAAACAAAAAACCCTCTGACCATAAGCAACCCATATGTCCAAAATATAAATATCCATTTGCCTTACAAAAGCTAGGAAATGTGTATTAATGGTAAAGGATACTGGCTTACATTATATAATGAACCACTTTTTGATTATTTCCTCTCTCATTCTCCATCTAGTAAAAAAAATCAGTTTGCTGCCATTTATAAATTGTTTTATGTCATTACAGTATAGAGAATTTCTTTATAATTTTGAGGATTTTTAAAAAAATCTACTGTTGTGAAGACCTGATTTCTGTGGCACGGAAATCTTGGACTCTTGGTATATACTGGGTTCTTAGATCTTGTTCAGGGAGGTCATTGACTTACAGGAAGCTTACTGATGGATAATAATTGGGAAAAGATTTTCTGCTTAATTTCAACATATTTAATCTCCAAGTTTGAAAAGTATGGCAGAATTATCTGGACTGCCTTTCTAGTAGAGGTCCTTTCAAATGCTGGAGAAGATGCTGCTTAGGCTTTAGTCTTTGTGGTTTGTTGCATCACAATTAAAAACTACACTATTGCTTGTTGCTAATAAATTTTAACTTCTTTTTGATTTTAGGACAAGTATAAAGTATAAGCTGACATGGTCACCATATCAGAAATAGAATTCCCACAAAAATTTATGCAAGTTATATTTGTGTCCTGACAATAATTTTTAAACAATTAATAATGATAAAATAACCTCTTCCTTCATGTTTAAATAGAAAAACAATTACACTTACTATTACATATTTTTTCCTTCTGGATGTTTTCAGTATGCTTGGTTACTGTGAGAAATGAACAAAGTAAAAGTTCAGTCTCAAAATTATAGCTGAGCATTTCTTTAAAGGATATATATTTGACCTGCAAATGCATGTAGTGGAATTCTGTGGAGACCCATCAACCTGAAAGGTTACTACTTCAGTTACTTTGTAGGATCAGGAAATTAGGATTTAACCATCTGAAAAAGCTGAGATTTTAGGCTGGAAGAACTGGCCTACACTAGTATTTCCTACCAGAATAGTTTTCTTGTGTAGAAGAGCTTATTTTAAAAGGAGGAGGTTCCGTACTTAATCCATGCTAAATAAATTTTAAATTACTTCTTTAAACTTCCTTGCACAAGGCAGACTTTTTTCTTCACTTATAAGCCACACAGAAGGTAGGTTATACAATACCAGTGCACACTTTATTACAATAAAGACACAAGTTAACAAGTGACAACGGCTACGTTATTTTATGTATGTTTTAACAGATCCAGTAAGTCAGCTTCAGATCTTACTGAGGGTAAAAGGTTACACAGATAGACTCTAGTAAACGTGACGGAGGTGACGTATGAGGAATAGTACAGCTCCCACTGAAAGCAATGGGAGCAATCCAGCCAGTCCTCCCCATCTTCAGCTCAGAGCTTTACACAAGTATCCCAGCTGCTCATAAACACACAGGTCCCATACTGAGCCCCACTGAGTATTTGGCATACAGACAACTCTCTGAAGATTGCAGTGAAAGGCTTAGATAGTTCACTAGCAATACATTTAATTTTTGGCAACAGCTATTAATCCAATACTATTTACTTCAGCTTTACAGTTAAAAAAAAAAAAAGTAAAATGCCAGAAACTGGCATTCCTGCCGTCCAGCTTCATTGCTCTTTGAATCTTCCACAGCCTATTGCTCTTTGAGTTTCTTCAGGAATCACTGTTCAAGATTGGGAAAGATTTACTGGCAAAGGACAGAAATTTTCCTAGCAAATGCTTCATCAGCTGCAGCAATCTCCCGTTCTCTTTTGTACTAAGCTCAGACACAATTTAAAGTCCTCATAACAACATCACATTCTTCTGAGAACTGCGTGCCACTCTCGTTAAAGATTTTTTTTAATTTGCCATTAAAAGTATTAAAATTTTGGCACTAGCTTTAGATAATAGTATAAGCAAGAAAAATGAGACTAATTAAAACAAAGCATCAAAAAACCCACAACCCTTTCTCTTAGTTAAATAAGGAATACTAGGTTTTAAGACACTACAAAGTTCAAGAATATAAAAATATTTGCCTTTTAGAAATATCTGAGTCTATGATCACATAAAACAAGTATCAACTTAATATAAAAATCTTAATAAAAATATAGCCATCTGTATTTCATCAAGTCCTCACAACTGTCTCACACCAATAAAAAGGTTTTGTTGAGAAATCTAGTTAAGTCTAAACAGTTATTCTATAGATTTTTTATATAATAAGTAAAAACAAAATTAAATGTTGTTGTCATTAGAGAAATTCCGGCTTGAGAAGAGATGAGGCAATGTTAGAGATCACAGGATAATGTTGCCTCATTACATGTTACATTACATTTATGGCAAAAGCAGGACCACAGAAAATTAATATGAAAAGAAATAGTATTTCCATGTCCCAAACTGCAGCTTGAAATAATTGTACAAGTTACTTGCATTTAAATGTTATAAAGCTTTATATTTGTGCTTGAACTTACAGGGAGCTACTCCTTCCTCTGCCAAGGGCCAGCAGCAGACAAATTGCCACGAACTCTCATATTAAAGGTGAAACAGCGTGCTTCTGCTGGCCGTTACAGAAGGTAAATCATGGCTAATTGTTACTTAGAGGCTAAAATCAGTCTGCCAGGTCTGATAGACTTTATGTGACCAAAAAGTCTATGTGCAGCCAATAATAAAGTAAGAAGTAGTAGACTTTTTTCAAACTATGTAGTGTTTATAAAACAGCAGTAGCACAACTCTAAACTCTACTACATTTGACTTTTCATCTAATACTGCTTCACTGAACAAAATGCATACATAATCTGTAGGACTTGAAAAACAGAACATTGGCTTTGTTGGTGTTTGTTTTGAAATAACTGTGTGGTCCCAAATTAGCCCTTTCGTGTTTTTAGCAGCTGTAGGTGAACAATTCCCATACAGAACATTAGATTTTTTTGAGCATCAAATCGCCTTTAAATCCGCAAATGGTGCAAAGATTTTTGTAGGTGCTTTCAAAACTGGAATGAGTTTCCTCTGAAGGTACAGTACAACATGGCATATATTCAAGGAGAAATGAAATAATTTGAGGAAAAAAAAATTCAAGATAAAAAAAACTGCTTATGCCAATATACCGTGAACATCTGGTATCTAAAACTGCACATTATGTTTGAAAAAAATCATTTATTTGCTGGAGCCTGTGTTTCTTTTGAATGTGGAAATTGCCCCTCAGAAGTAGGTCAGAAACTATACTCCTTATTAAAGACTTCTTCCCCGCAAAGATGCTGATCCATGAAGCCCAGTGATTTCAGTGGGCTCAGGCGTTGTGAAAAAGCATCAGATTTTACAGGGAGAAGTAGATCAGAACTGGATCCCAGGTCCTGGGAAAAGTAAGGAACATCAAAATATACTTGCTCCCATGTCTTGTTTAAAAAAAACAATAAAGTCTATGTGTGCTTTCCTTCAACTAAATTCTGATTCCACTTAAAGTGTATTGGGATTTGGTACAGATTTCAAAGGAGGCTGGAATCTTTCCTTTAGAGATGTAGGCTGAGATTTTTCAAAGAAAGGTACCCAGCTCCTCCTCTTCCAGTCAATATTCACAGTGAGAGAAAACACCAGCGTTATGTTTTTTTTTTTTTTGAACTTGGCCTTTCAATTTTTCTTTAAGCAACTTTCATTGAATACGTGACTGAGTGGAGTCACTGATGTATTATTCCTAATACTCATTTCTAGCCCTCTCCCCAAACACGCTTAGCACATGCAGATCCCAACTTGGACAGGGGCTGTATCTGTTGAAAAACTCCAGCTATCAGGACACCGAATTACAGACTAACAATCTTATGGGAGTAGACAGCATCTGTTCAGTAAACTATATATTTGGTACAGCAGCAAAAGGGGATAATAGGTTCACAACTATGTCGCAGTAGCATTGACTGTAGGTTTTTTGTTTGTTTTCCTCTGGTAGAAAATACATTTTGAGAAGACTTTGTTGTTCTTTCAGCCCTTCTGGGAGGGTACAGCCTTCTTCACAGTGGTGTTACCAGAATTTTAGCATTCGCTTTTGAATTCCTAACACCGGTGGTTTGTTGCCCGTTTCTGAAACTGAAAGTAAGAGATCGAGAAGCTACATAACATTTTACGGAATGAAACCAGACACTCCCCACTCCCAAATAGCACTGCTAAAATAATTCCATTACACAACTAATATAAAATGTAGGGGAAAAAAAAGTCAGTGCTCTGTAAAGCATGCCTTTCTGGACAGAACAAGCAACGCAGCAAACAACATTTGGAACTTGAATGTGAGTAATTCAGTGATTGAATCAATGTTACTTCATTCTGTTTGTGCGAGAAACCTATGAAGGGAATCTGGTTTGACTCTAGCCACAGTTCATCAACTGCACAGCTTAAAAGCCACAGGTCAGACATATGAGAAGTCCCTAACTGTGACAAGGAATAGCACGCCCTTCTCAAGGAACTTGACCTGAGAATTCTCATTCTGAAAACATAATGACAGTTCCTTATACAGACCAAGGATCAGGTATAGGTAATTCCAAGCTTCTTCAAGTTATTATTGCTTATAAGGGTAAATTTTGTTCACAGTACAAATTCTCAGTAACCTGGAAGGTAGCTAGGGAGTTGCACTTTGGCTAATTCAACTTCCCTCTGCTTCTGCCAAGAGTTTTCCTCCTACCATAGTAACTAGCAAATAGTGGCTGTCTCCACTGCACCAGCACTGTAAGGTATGCACACAGATTTCAGGTGGACATGTTTGCCCAGGGTAACTCAAAACAGCATCTGGTGGGGCAAGGGAACACTATCTTTGCTTATAGCTAAACCAAATGGACTGGGAGAAAAGCTGTTCCAGAGCGTCTCTACCCTCTCAAAATAAAAAGGCTGGGACATTGAAATCCTGTGTTTTTAGAGCAGGACCTAATGAATTCCTACTGAAAGGGTAAAATACTTTGTAATGTAAACAGTCCTACTGAAAGAATAGTTTTGCCATACATCAGAGTTAGGGGGTGTGATATATATGCATGCTCTAAGTAACTTTCTCCTCGAGGGACAAAAATTACTTGATGTAAAAGGGAAGATTTTGAGATATGAAGCAACAGTCTCAAAGTGATGAGAAGGTCAGTCTTGATTTGTGAGTGCCCACTTTCAACCACATCAGCTCTTGGATTCAGAGATTCTGGAAAAACTGCATAATGTTAATGTCTGTCAAATTAACAAAAAAATCTAAAAGCCATTCTGAAAGCGTTGATGTTTTGCAGTAGATCTGATAAAACATATTTACTGAGCGTGAAAAGGGACTATGTACAAAGAGGTCCTACATTCTTGTGAAATATAGCATGGATAAAACTGACTTACCATTTCACCCTCAGCATTTGTTCAAAGTTCTCAGGGAGAGGATTACCATAGCTTTCAGGGAGAAACAGGGTAAGGATCCCTATCAACACAGTCAAGCTTCCCATGAGGATGTAAGGTAGGAATCTGTCGTAAGCACCTGGCAGAACACAGGACATGACAACGTTAATTATACACCCACAATCAATGAACCCATTGATAATAAATATAAAATAAATAAATAAAATAAAAATTTTTATTTCAGACATCACTGTAACACAGCATTCATCTGGACTAATGAGCTGAAATCTTTATAAATATCACAGGTGAATCCAAAACTGAGTTATATATTGTATCTACTAGCTAGCCAACCTTTTTTCCAATTTGAAACTATACTGTATGATCTAGAATGACCACTAGCTATCATCAGGCTCAAGCAATCTCCCATACTGCCAACTACTGTTCGCATAGCATCAAATAGTTTCTCCGTACACTTTCAGCTGGGATAGCTAACATCTTTGCAAGATAACAACTGTGCTAGAATCACTGCTGGAATAGATCAGTCTTTAGTGCTATCCTGTCATCTGGAACCACATTTTCAGTCAAATAATAGAATGTGAGCGATTAAAAATGTGAAAGAAAAGAAGCGCTCATAAGCAACCAGACACTCACCAGCTGTCCGGGATTCTGTGTGCTGCTGGTCTTGTGGAAAAGAAGGGAAAAGACTAACGGGACATTAACAGGGGAATTCTTAAATACTTTCCATAATAGAAGCAGAGAAAGCATGAAGCCTCCCTTGACAGACAAGAGGCTGTGACCTTGGTCTACTCAGATTCTGATTTTGGACTAGAAAATAGTGGCCACTGCCAGAAGTCTGAAGTTAGCGCACAAGTGTTTGGGCAGGATGCAAGATTTCCATGTCATAATAGAACAGAAATGAAAAGGTCTTTCAGTAAAGGAAGTAGCCAGGAATTAATGCGTTTAAGGTAGAGAAAGTACCAAATAGCATTTGACAGCTTTATTTTTCAGTTGGGATAAAGCAGAATACTTAATAATGTATAGAATAAACTAGGATTAAAATGAAGATCCCTGGGTATTTCACACAGAGCCAAAGTTTGTGATTTGATCTCCTTCTGTGTTCACGAGCTGGATGAACTGCAGGGGCCTAATTTAGCTGTAGCAAATATCAGTAGCTCACGAGTTTCTCCTAAACCTCTTGAAGTTTAGGAAACTATTCTGATGACTTGAAACAAGATTCTTAGAGGCTGGCCCTTAGGAAATCTGAGAGGAAAAAAAAAACAATAAAAACTTCTTTATGCTGTATATATATCTCTGTTACTGTTCCTTATGCTGCAACAGTGAATGAAGACCCTGAGGAGCATCACAATCATGCTCTCTTGTACAGTATAAATGTAAAATAAAAGTATGAAGTAAAGAGAACATTTTTTCATCATTCTTGTTACAAAAACAACCCAAAGTTTTAGCCATTGTCAAGTAATTCTATACCTGGGGGGTGGGGGGGAGGAAAACAAAACCAAAAAGCCTTTGGATATGAAAGTATCATCAATGAGCCAAAAATGCTGTCGCACTGAAACGTACAGGTGAGACAACACATGGCTCTCACCTGTTCTGGAATCACGAATCAGGAGTAACTCCTCAAGAGTAAATCAGCAATGCTCCGCTAGAGTCAGGACAATTGTACTCATTTTCTATCAGGCAAGGGTCTGCTCAGTAGGAAGCAAAGTCGGTGGGTAACTTGTTAGGTTTAAGGGAGGGCTGAGTCGCACCCAGTGATGGCAGAAGGAAATAAAATGTGTCTGAGGGAAGGAAACTAGGTCTGGCTAGCTAGGAGATTGGGCATCCCAGACTGGGCAGCCAATATGAAGATACTTCCATCCCTAGTCCCTTAATCTCTTTGTGGCTATTTCCTGTTTGCAGCACGGGGATCATTTCTGTGTATCCTGGAGGTGTTGGGTTTTTTTGTTTGCTTGTTTTATCAGTTATATTTGTCCAGCACTCAGAAAGTGATGGTAATGAACGTCAGAAAAAGCCTATGAGGACATTAGTAATTCTGCTTAGAGATCAAGGCATGAAACAATAAGAAAAAGCAAAATGAATAGCTATTCTGTAACAGTGAGCACAATCCATCTACTACATTGAATGAGACAGAAGGCTGAGAGGAAAGAAAAAAAAAACCATGGTCATGTAAAACAGAAAGTGAGTCACACAGTGTATGTTCAAGTGGGTCCACACAGTTACATAGCAGCTTCAGTCCTGGCATTTTCTTAATGCCAGGTGCCGGATTTAACCCACAAAAATCACTTTACTAAGATCACAACTAGACACACTCTTGTGCTTCTTAGTCTGTATATTTTCCCCATCTTGCTTTAGAGAACAGATTCAGAGAATGTCTGAATTGCCGCCTGGTCTACCGGCTTCTGACGTTCTCATCTCAGGATTCGATGACAAAGGGTACAATGCAACGAGGTTCCTACCTGTGCTTACTTGCTATATGACTACTTGTTAAACTCTCCTGGCATCAGGAGGCCTCTGGGAAACCAGCTGGAGTACCAGAGGTAATACCTACGGCCAAGATGGGACCAACTATCATCTTACCATCTTTGCTTTGCCCAGCACTGACTCAGTCCTCTGCTATATGAAGAAGGAAAGAAGTGCCTTGTTGTTCGATGTTAAGCTTTCGTGAAAATCCCTGAACTCTGATTTCTATAGCGTACAGTAGTGAACTCAAACCCAAAGTATGAGAAGGCACTTACAAGACAACATATTAAGGGGCTAACAGCTGAATTTGCACCTTAGAATTTCAGATAACTTTTTCTGTGCAGTTGTGTGTGTAGTTCCAGGGAAGCAACGCAAGATGTCTCACCCAGGTACACAAAGTAAGGAGCAATGATGCTGCCCACTCTGGAAGCTGTGGAAGTAGCCCCAACTGCCATGTTTCTGACTAACGTTGGATATAGCTCAACGTTGTAGACATAAAGCATAGAAAATGCAGATGTGATTCCAAATTTTCCAAGCATCACCAGGCCAACCGACAGGACATAAAGATCTGGAGGGAGGAGAAAAAAAAAGTCAAGGTGAATAAACTACACCCCGTACTTATTACTTGTACTTCTTTTACCACTCCAGGAGTATATCACTTCCCACTTTCCCCTCCTTCCCTCACCCACTGTGGTGTTCTTTTTATTTGTTCATTTTTTAAATCATAAGATCTCAGTTATACAGCATAGTGGCCCTGTCCCTAGATTACTTGGCTCCAAGCTTCCTGTTGAGCACAGTTTAGAAGGAGCAGGCAAATTATTTCATACTTCCTAGGTGTTGGTTCTGTCACAGTAAAATGAACTGGAACAAGATTCTGCATTTACCCGATAACAAAGCACATGCTTACAACCATCCTTTTCTAGCAGCACCCTGTGGGTATTTATACACAGTGAAACCTGCAGAACTCGCAGGGATTTTTAGCCATTAGGCATAACCAGATAAATCACAGCACACTCTTGGCTCTCATTTTACAAGCTGCTTCCCCTGGACTACAAAGAGCTCAGTAATTTAACACAATAAATGAGCGCTGTGCGTGACTCAGCATATACATATATTTATATTATTAAAAAATCACAGCTGCAAGCAATCAGCATAAATTTGACCTCAGACTATAAGTTTGATCATGGTTTCCAATAATTTTATGGAGGAAAGAGATAGGTAAATAAAATGTTATAAATATAAATATTATATGTTATATAATGTTATAATATAAATTTATGGGACTAAGTCATGTATTGAATTTTGTACCTGCAGGAACCAGCTGGATGAAGAGGACAACACCTCCTCCTAAAACCAAGGTGCCAGATATTGAATACCTCCGAGGTAGGGATCGGAGGAGAAGCCAGGCAATCACGTAAGCAGGAATTTCAATCACTGCTGAGAGGAAACAATTGATGTAGGCATCTCCATGCCAATTTGGAGTGCTGAGTGACAGGCCGAAGTAACCAACTGACGTTAGCATCCTGAGAAAAGCAATAAAAATAAATTATTCAAGAAATACTGTTCTTCAAACGTCTACAGTGTTACCTCAGCTCTTGTTACAGAAATAGGGTGAAGCAAAGCATGACCACAGACAGTGGGGATTAGAAATTTCAGTGGCAACCCCATCTTTCTAATTCTTTCATTCCTTGCAGTGATCATATCCACAGCAGCTTGCCGAGACCTCTGATTTCACTGTCCTTCCTGTACATATAACATTAAGTGAAGGGCTTTGTGAAAGGCATATACAAAGGCTTTTCACTGCAATGGATTCATAAACAGCACAATGAAGTAAGTCTTGAAAACTTTCAGTGCCAGCTATGCTCTTAAAGCAAACGCCAGTGAAAGAATCTCCCACCCCTCCGCAGTTCCGTTACATCTCATTTGAATCTTCACGAGAGAGCTGGATGTTCAGGTTTCAAATCTCAAGACTGCCTCACTCGGGCACGCCAACTGTACTAGCCAGTTCCTTTACCCTGGGGGAAATATGTACAGAAAAGGATCACAGTTTGTCTCTATGGTATTACTTGGGCCCTCATTCCATGTAGTTCCCCAGGCAGGGACGAGGATCTCACTGAGCAAGGCACTGTACAAAACAGAACAAAAAAGCTGGCAACAAACGGGTTCTAGTTCCTGCTATGTTACTGAGTTGCTGCCCATGTTTAAAGACAGACATTTCTCTTCAAAGAGACACGATGATGAGAATTTCTTCAAACCAAAAAAACCCCAAATTAAAAATACATAAGTTGTTTCTTATGTTTTTCTAAATATTTTACATCTGAGTCTAGGCTATTCTTTCTATACTCTTCTGTATTAAACCATTGTGGATGCAAGGATCATTGAAGACCATGTACTAGCCAAGGGCCATGTGTAAGTAGGGTCCAAGACTGTAAGACTCATTATCTAAAACTGTGACATGCGCCCTCAAATCAGAACTTATTCTAGTGCCTGGGTACTTTAGGAATACACATTTCCTTACCACAAAAGTAATGACATAATAGTAATAGTTGCAATGTTTCGGGTTCGAAATAGGTCCAGAAGGATAGCCTTCTGCTGCTGCTGAGGCTTCAAATCCTGCATCTGAAGGAAAAAGGAAAACAAAACCAAAAAAATTCCCACATACCTAAGAGCAAAACAACCTTTGCATACCCACAAGTCTGGGCAATTATGAAGTTAGGACTACATTGGGGGATAACTAGTCAGCCCAAGAGCCAGTTCTGCATCAGGGAAAGTGTCCTTTAGGTAGGTAGCTTGTCTCTGCACCCAGCTGCACTCCAGGGTAACTTCCAGTTGTGTGTGTTAGCACTGAAACCATAGCACCACGTTGATTATTTTACAAGGGACTATCAGCTGGCGGAAAAGATGCACTGCAGCTTCCTTCATGACCTGACACAGAACTTCCAGTAGTAATCTCATTACCAAAGGGATTTTTCTCTGCAGCGTCTGCTCAACTCTCTTCTGTTCAAGCTTCACAAATTGTGTGAAATAAATGCAAAAGATCCTCCAGTTTCGCTGCGTGCTTGCCAGCGCCCTGCCCCAGCGGGGCACGGGATGCTAGAACTCAGTACCAAGAGCAGCGTGTATCACCACATCCACCCCTCTCTCCTTGCTCTTTTGGAGGTGGGGGGGTGGGGGGACCAGTTTGAGGCTTGAAGCAAGTTTCTGTTTGCTGATCTGGGGATGCTGCTTCTGCCTGCACAGAGGCCTCCTTGGCTGGGTTGCACCAGTGAGCATGCAGCTGGGCTCTCCTCCCAGTCCTGTCCTTCCCAGGCCGAAGGAAGGGCTTCACTCCAGGGCTCAGCAGGCACCTAGCACTTCCCAGAGAGCACAAAGGCCAGTGCTAAAGCTGGTACCTGCTTTGACTCAGAAGAGCAGCCAGCAAGGCGAGGGACACGGATGTGGTCTCAAGCTAGTTGCTTCAGGTACAAGCCAAGTCATGGCAAGTCTGCTTGCGAGAAGGTGAGCTGTGGAGCCTTCCTGGCTGTCTGTATTTGGCTAGCCAGGAGATTTTGCTTCCTAGGAAAAGACTGTGGGTTCCAAGGAATGCTTCTCTGGCAGTGCTTGGAAAATACTTCAGCGGAGGATTCAATATGTGAACATAATCCCTAGGCTTTTGTGGACAGGCACTCAGGCATGTGAGATTCCCGCAAAGTATAAGGATAGATGAGCTGCCAATTGGACTTAAAAATATGGAGCAATGATCAAAAGCAGACTCATCCGTTGGAGACTGAAAAAGTAATTTCCAGTATGAAAGACACTGAACTCTGGCCAGAAGGTAAGGAAAGTGCTTTTCCACACTTTTTGTAGGAGGAGCTTCCCCTAGCTAGATCACACACTTGAATTTGCACTCAAACATACGCTTGCAAAGAGAGCTGAAGCAACCCAGCCAAAATTTAAGCATGACGTTCAAGAAATTGATGCTGCCAACAAGAATACAGCAAGCTGCATTTCTCTCCTGCAGTTATTGCAGAAAAGCACGTGGTGCTTTGTCTTTCTGTTGTATCACTGGTTAGGACACATAAAATGCAGGTGCTAATAGTAACGCCGTAGCATAAGATCTGACGTACGTACACGTGATCATTATTAACAGAGTGTTGGAAGTGGGGCCGGTTTCTTTGAGCAAGAAAAATTACTCTGCCTTTTAAGGAGCAGCAGCCACTAGAGGGGGAAAGGAGCACAGGGACGAGCCGGTCCGGGTCCCAGGGCTCCGGTGCTGCGCCCACTCAAGACGCTTGTGAGTGCTGTGCTGGGCTTCCTTCGTTTTACCAATGAAGATGAAATACAAGAAACAAGCTTGCAGAAGACTTTCATATTATTTACTGCCTTCACTATAGTCATACTTTTCAAGTGCACTTTTAGGTGCTTTTACTGGTTTGTGAAGTCCGAAGAACCCCTTTGGCGCTCCCACGTAGCACGGGCCCACGTGTGCTCTTAACGCTGGACACGGGACCAGTTCTCTCGTGGAAGAGCTGCTGCTAAATTGCAAGCTGCTAATAGCGTGCCAAGCTGCGATGAAAATACATGCATGTTCTCCTTAGATCTTCTCAACTGCCTGAATGATGAAGCAACTTGAGCGACCCTTGGTCTCAAAACCACAACCAACCACTGCCGAAGAAGAGAATTTTACCGTAAAGAACAAAAAAGGAGCAAACCTTCTGGCTTCTCGCTTTGAGCTTGCTAACCCTAACAAGCTACCACTTACCTTGTGCCAACAGTAAATGCCAGCCTTTAGCGTTGTAAACCCCTGCTGTTCTGTTTCACAAGAAATTAATTGGCCAAAGGGGAAAACTGCGGAAGAGGTAAAGTAACAGGACATATGAAATATACCTCTGTGGTGTCGAAAATCACAGCAGGGGCTGGAACGCCATTGATTTTTGCAGCCTTGCGGATAATAGCTTCTGCCTCTTTATATCTTCCCTGGGAGATTAGCCACCGAGGGGATTCAGGAATGATCCTGGAATAAGTTTCAGAATAAATGACTCAACATTTTCACAAAAGTCAAAACGCTATTAAAAATACATTTATAGTTTTTCTGCGTTACCCCCTCATCTCACAGATTACTTGTAATAGAACGGAGTCAACACATAAGCATGTGGGTAACGTAATTCATGACTTTGTCCCACTGGGATCAACACAAGAATTCAAGTATATGGAACACGTTTATTTTCATGCTTAAGCAGTTGTGTGCTTAGGTCCTTTTCTAGGTTGTTGATTTTTAGGTGATAACTGATGCCCACCAAAATGACAGAGGTTACTAAATGAACAGCAAAGATGCAGGTAGCTTAACCAGTGCTAAACAAAATTTTTCTTAGGAAACTGCCTACAGTGTTGAAATGCTTTAAATGCGTAGACGATGTATTTAGAGGCTCTGTGTCACAGGAAGCTTATGCACAAATCTCATGATTTTACCACTAATCTGATGCAGGCTCTTTCAGGTGAAGGGCAGTAATATTTACAAATCAATTCCGAGCACATGCTGAGTGAATTAACACCAAACAGAGGATAGAAATTTCCACCTTTCCTTAACTAAATCCTTTGATCTTAACAGATCTTTAGATCTTTCTTTCTTTAGTCAGCAGTAATTTTTCCTCTCCTTGGAAAAAAGCAGGTCAGATATTCCTTTTCCAATGAATTCCCTAAAGAGCTGACCCAAAGCAATGTTTTGCGTGTCAGAGGATTTCTATTAGCTTGCTCTACTACTAACACGAATTTATGAGAGGTAAGCTATCCGCGCTGCTTTTCTTCGTGAGTAAGTTGATGAACAAGACTGCAGAGATGACCCTGGAAACATTTTGGAGTATTTGGAATAGGAATGAATAAAAGAGAAGGACGATGCGTAAGCAGCATCTTCACGGAAGTAGTGGGTCCAGATGCCTATATTCCATCTAACACCAACCTGTGTCAACACAGTTTTGCCAGTGCACCTTGATCCCCGTCTACCATCACATTAGTCCCAGACTATAAGGTGCCATGTATGGTCATTTTATGCGTGCTTTATGCTCCCCAAAAGTGTGGAGATTCCCAATTCCAAACACATTTCAGGGCCGGGCTCTGAAGCCATGCCTTTGGAGGCAAGAAGAGAAGACAGGAGTCCTGACAAACTTCGTATGTCTCACAGTGCCCATTTCTGCAGCAGAACTCTTAACGGGTTTACATTCAAAGCCAGCTTCTCCCCATCCCTCTTGCCTAACAAAATGCAGCTGTTCGATGCACAGTGAAATACACCTGTGCTGGAGAACTTCAACACATTTCCAGGTAAATATACCAAAATAACTTCTAAATAGAATCTGATAGTCTTTAAAATCAGATGATAGCAGAGTTAGAGCTGAAAAACCATTTTAAAGGTTTGATTTAAGACTTTAAGAATAAAAAAAAAAAGATCTGACAAGACTGAGATCTGCAGGAGACGTTTTAAACTACAGAAGAGTAGATCTAAATCACTTATCTGTTATAAACGTTAATTTCTTATTTGTAGATATAACTGTTTCAAGATAATAGGAAGAAAGGAGTTCCTCAGTTAAGACCAATACAAAAAGAAGAAACTACTTCACATAACTTTTTGGGTAAGTTATCTTTATATTTGGGAGCATGAAAGATACCACACCTTTCCTTCTGTAGTTTCTAAATAACTTTCCCTTCAAAAAAAACCAGATGACTAGGGCAGCAGCAGAACAAGGATACCTGACCTTCCGTAATGCTTCTGTCGAGCTGAGAACAGCACTCAAGTTTTCCTTAACTCTTTTTGCAGCCTGATAGTGCAAAGCATCCACAGCCAAGTGAGGGTGCACTTACATTCCCACCAGAGCATTAAGGCCGAGGTGGATGAACGCAATGGAAAGATGGAAAGAAAACATGGACTCAGCAACCAAGAGGAGAGCAGAGCGGCTCACAGGAGCAGGGCATGGGACAGCCAACCTTCAGCTTAGCCAGGCAGAGTTACTGCATTCCTCAAGTCGCAGGGGAGAGCTGCATGCAGAATTAAAACAGGAGAATATCTGTGCTGGGCAAGGCTGTCACTGCCAAAGCCTGTTGTTGGCATCCTTGGAAATGGGCAACACAGGCAAGTAAAGCTGCAGGTTACACGCAATGCTTGCTCCCCTGAGCTATCTACAGCCCCTGCTCATGCTCTGTCAGCACTCTCACTACAAAATCTGCTAAGCAGGCATTTGTGGTAGAGCTTCTTGCCCTTTGCTAGGTACCTGTCACTGCTGTGATTCAGTGTAGGCTCTGTCCTCCACTCTCAAAGCTGCCTGGGCTGCTGACATTCCTCGTAAAACAGGGAAAGAAATCTCCAGGTGCACGCTGAAGCCCACCTTCTACTGCCCTCAGCTCACCCGGCTGTGAGCACAGCTTGGGAGAACTTACCTTCAGGCTCACGCTACACAAGCTTCTAGGTCTTCACACAAGTTTTCCCCCTTCCTGGGCTCTCAGAAATCAAATAATACCTTCTATCCTCCACATGGCTGGGCACACACCATCTGCTGTCTTTGGCTGTGTGCCCACCTACCCAGGGTTTAGAGAAGAGAAGCTGGTGCACGTTTGTAGTAGTTGGGGAAGAGTTGAAGGAAAAAGGAAAATGGGGAAGAAAAAGGGAGAAAGCCCAACAGTGCTGAGGTAGAATAATGCAAGTGGCAGTCTGTGCTGGTCAGCTTCCACAGTTCTTTTCTACCTTAAATTTAAAATACAGATGTGCCTAAGTGCCTAAGTCCCCACGCATCTCCAGCACCAAGACGCTGGGCCAGCCCCATGGCAGCACTCCCAACCTTTAAAGGCCAGAGTAGTTGATATCTCCTCTCTACAGGATGAAGAAGGGGCTGGATCAGTAGAGATGCATATGATTAATTAGTTGTGGTTCATGTTCTGTGACTTTATACTCAAAGTAATGTACTAAAGGTGTTCCCAGCTTGTGTAGAAGTACTGCAAAAGAATCAGGAGCGCCATTCAGGGAAGAGTTGCACAGTATTTGGATCAGGCACCATCTACAAGCTTCTGAAACTGTGAAATGAGCATTACAGTCTACTAAGTTAATCCAGAGTTAGCGTTTTTTTTAATTTAAAATAATTTGTACGGTTTCTTTTTTTTCCTTCTCAGAGACTGCCTTAGAGGAATGAAGATTTTACTCTATCCACCCTGAATTTGGACAAGAACTTAAAATTCAGCCTAAGAAAGAAAATAAATAGGAGAGGGAGCAAAACATCCTATTTTCCTTATAGGGCTGTCCTTGCTTCATTGACCCTCGCCTGCTTTGAGGACCTCCACGCCGCTGGTGGAGAATCTGATACAGTCAAGATGAAAGCACTCCTTACAAGGAGGTACATCTCTTGCGTTTCCCTTCCTGGAAAAAGCTGCTGCATCTGGGAGCTAAAGGAAGATTCTGCTTTCAGGTCGGCCTGCTGGGTAAACACAGCTCTGGGACGCTGATGTTCCTACTAGTGTTTTCCAACCCCACGATTTGGGGGCTCTGAATCATTCTGATAATGCCAAAGGCAATAAGGTTACAAGCAAATTGAAAGAAAAAAAATCGTGCAGTTGTCGTAAGTCAGAAAGTTCCTCCTCCAAGGGTAGAGTATTACTAACCAAGTAGAGAACTTTCACGATATGAAGTGTAAACTGCCCAGGACCTTATTCCAGAAGGCTGTACGGGAGTGTATTCAACATCTAATATTAAACATCCTTCGCCTTTCCCATGTTACATGTGTATAACATAACACAAAACTTGTACAGCATTTCAGTGAGACTTTAGCAGCAATCAACAGTTGAATCCACATGAAAAAAAATGGCTTAAAGAAAAAAGGAAGCAAAAAAAGTTAAAATGAAGTACAGTACAACTCATCCAGCAATAGTATAGGGGCAAACAAAAAGGTGATTAACAGTGTTCAGAGTAAGGAATTAAATACAAAATTCTCAAGCTGCACTGGAAAGCTGGTGAAAAGTGGATTCAAGCACATGGCCAGGGAGGTTCAGCAGACAGTTAGCTTGATTTAAAACTGGCAAAAAGAAAAAAAAACAAGAAAGCCCCTTCCACTTCGAGGCAAGGTCTGCTCACATGGCAAATACGATGCCAAAAACTGAAGAGGAGGGCAAAGAGGAAAAAAACACCCCACAGCAAGTTGAAGTTATAACCTTCTGGTTATGCAACAGATCAGACTGGAGAAGTCAGCTGCAGATGGGACTTTCTGGAGCTGAGCGCCTTGCGGCACGGTTGCACTCACCACCACAGCGGCACGCAGAACACCCCGGGGACAGTGAGAGCCAGTAGCAGCATCCGCCAGTCTCTGATGAAGTAAGCAAATAGTGGCAGCAACATGTAGCCAATTGCAAAAAATATGCAAACTCCTAACGTAGAGAATATAATACGAACTGATTTGCCAAGAATTTCTGTTCCTGTTCAAAACAAGGGAGGTTGGATTAGCATTTTAACTCTTTCTTTTTAATCATGACTAAATAGTTTACTGCATTTACAAAAAATATGCTAAAACAATCTCAGCAAAGATTAGTTTCTCTTATCATACTTAAAGGGACACTGTCAAGGAGTTACAGTTCAAGTTATAGGCAAATTATAGTCCACAATACACTCAAGGAGTAACAGATCATCTTCAAGGTGATACTAATCTGGTGGGAGAGCCCTCCAGACTTTTGTCGTACACCTTTCTTGGAAGCAGCTGCGCAATTGAATCAATTCGAAGAGCAGCCACCACCCGGTCTTTTCGACTGACCTTTGGGATAGTCCTGCAGGGTCTGATACAAAACTGTTTTCAACACTAAACACAGTCTAATAGCAGCGTCTATTCAGCTTCTACATTATCGCCGTCAACATTTGCTCACAGATCTAACCCAGGCTTAGGAGCCTCAGGGTTAACCGAATTCTCCTCTGTTGCAAAGGCTGACAAATTAAAAAGAAGAAACAGCTGACAGTGTCCTTTTAACGAAATCTTGTTTGTGCACATCTCCCAGGAGTTTAAATAAGTTTGGAACAGAAAATAAAGGGCTACCATGTGGAAACGCACGCTGAAATATGAACTCTTTTGTGGTTTGCTCCACATATCTTGAGGTTAAAGAACTGGCCCACGGGGCTCTGTGTCCCGTTTCCAGCAGTGGCCGACGCCAGACGCCTCCGCAAAGGCATAAAGCCTCTGCGACGCGCAGCCTCGTTCTCCGCAGCAGTACTGCGCGGACAGGGACCAAACCGACTTTGCTAGTGTGTATTTGCAGTCTGCTGCAAGCCCGTGATATAGGTTAGCTTGCAGTGAAAGAGTTTATGTCATACTTTTTTCCTCGTCTCTTAGCCTCGCAGCATGCACCTGGACGGTCAAACCAGCTCAAAACGCTCCTGCAGGGGCAAGTCCCACCGGTTCCAGCCGAACCCAACAGCTCTGAGCATCCTCTCCTCGGGGGAAAGACGGAATAGGGGATATTTAAATTACCCTCATTAGCCTGATTTCCAAAATACTGAGCTCTAGGACTGTACGTTAATCCCAGACAAACTCTTGGGTGAACTGATAAAGTCATATTGGCCGTCTTGTTTATTGTTGGGCAGATTAAGCACAAGTGTGAGACCAAATCTTCTAGTGCCTATATTTGAAAAATCTTGGCCCTTAGCTTTTTTAATTTTTTGTTTCTAAATATGTCAGTGTGGATATTCTCAGGCTTTTAATTCTGCCTTGTATGGCATCCTTTACGCTTCTGCCTAGATCGTTTCTACTACGCTGCTTCCCAACCTCTCTCTATTCTAAGCCATTTAAAGGAAGCAAACCACACAGAAGGCATGTTCATGAAGAGAATATGCCTCTTCTCAGAAAAAAAAAAATATATATATACACATCAGGATTTTCTCCGAAAGAATCGAGTGTCAGATTTGCTGTGCTGCCTTTCCCCGCGCAGGGAGACAGATTCTTTACGTTCTCCAGTCTGATCAGAGTTTTTACTCCTTCCCCTTGACAAGCGGCATCTAATTCGGAAGAAGAAATCCGTGAACGGGTACCAGCAGCTTGTATTAGCCATATCTGAGATTCCCCACAGCTTAACAAACTGTCACCCATCCAGCCCGACCGCGCCGGTCGCCTGCGATCACTCGATTGTACCGATAACGAAGCGCGCGTTGACCTGAACGCGGTGCGTTTGCCCAGACTGATAGGGATCTGCTCTTGTGTTGCTCGGTGCTACTCTATGAACGCAAGCCCTTTACCGGGCTTCCCGATTTCTGACTACCCAGATCTCTTACCTGCAAGGCCTGTCGCTCCCCTCTGTGCGAGCCCCCGACTCCTCAGCCAGGCAGCCATCTCCGTTGGAGGAGGACCGCGACGAATTTGCCACGTGCCTGCTTTCGCCCTGGTCCCAGTACGGCCCTAGCACAAATCAGAGCAGCCCCAGGGCACACGAAATCCCGCGCTCCTGTCTCCGCCGACTTCTCCCTGCTGCCAGCCGCCGGGAGCTCTGCCATCCCACCACCGGAGAAGCTGCTTGCCGCTCGGCTACCCCTGCGGCACGTGCCGGGCAGCTGCCCCTGCTGTAC